AAAATTGCCTCAGGCACCGTAATTGCGACTGAGGAGTGCCATTGAATTCCAGGAATTCCTCTCTGTTTCAAAATCAGTCTGCATAATGGCGTCACGTGTACTTTGAGTAATTCGTAAAAAGTCTCTCCAATTTTTAACACCAAGCGTTATGCTTCCAACGGCTGATAACCGAGTTTACTTAGCGATAAGATTTTATTGGTTTACACGCTCCGTTGATGACGTCTGGTTATGATCGAAAGTCCAGAAATCATTGCGCATATTTTCTTTGAGGCAATACCCCTTAGCCATGTGAAATTTACCTCACACGAACGTAGCCCTGTAGCCCGAGAGGTAGAATCATGTGGTTGTGCAGCTCGATTTCAAAGTATCGTATATCTGTTTTTGGGAGGGGTGTGAAGGTGCTAGTATATTTCGTTACTCAGCTACATGTACTGGAGCCAGGGAATCGCAATGGCACGATATGGCCTACACAGTGACCAGCAGGGTCCAGCCGATGTGAAATCAATGCTCTTATCCTCCCAGACGAATCTGGTGACAATTTACCGTCCGTGGAGGTAGAAGGCTTGATTGACCTGGGAATGAGCCTACCCCGATTTGACCCCGGTAGGTAAGCGGCTACTAGCCAGCACACCTCCGCCTCGGCGGTGCCAATAGCACTGACACTGAGGAGGGTTTCTTTTCTAGAATTTTTCCGTCGAGCAGGGAAGGAGGGCACGTTGTGCCGTTAAAGAAAGTTCTTGCAAAAATACGCCTTGCTTTGAAAATCCCTATATTGGTATGACCCCTTTCCCACCTCCATCCTATCTACAATCTTCCTTAATGTCCTCTTTTTCTTACCACTTTCAGAAAGTTTTTTTTGAGACTTTCTCCACTTCCCCCCTACAAAAACTGCCTGGATGGGTGGGGGCAGGGGTACATAGCGCTCTTGGAGCAGAACAAACGAGGAAAGCTCGACGACCGACATTATTTCTTTTGGACAAATACGCCCCCCCCCCCTTTGAATAGGACCGCTCCCCTCGCTGGGGATCCCAAGAGTATTGCCCTGGGAAACAAGGGCAGGTACTTGCAGCTCATTTGATACATACTTACCAACAGCGAGAAAGGGCAGTTTCTGCAACGATGCCACTTCGGGACCACCAATGTCGGAAAGGCCTGCTGAGCCCAAATACAGCCATCAAATATATCAGTAAAAGACGATCCACCTCCGGATAGGATTAGGAGATGCAGACGCTGTTTGTCGACAGGGGGGGGCATTTTGTACTATCATTGGTTCCTTCAGTTC